TACCTAGAGTGGGAGGCCCAAGGGGGAGTTAGGGACAACTAGCCATCCTCTGCTATCTGGGTTTCTGTGTCTTCACCCACCCCAACTTCACTTATTCTGGAAGGTTAAGGAGGCATTAGTCATTATACTAAAATAATAATAATAGTGATGATAATGACATGAGAGAAACAACAATCAACCAACCAACCTATGGCCAATCTGTGATGCGTAGGTATTAAGCAGCCCCTAATCGGTACATATTTTTCTAGGGGCTCCAACTTAGGAGCAGCCACTTGGGTGGAAGGGGAGACCCCGGATTGCAGAGAAGACTGTGTCATTCAGGCAGAAAGTGCGAATGGCCCTGGCTTACCAGGGAGACTTGGGACAACAGGTGGAGGGAGGGAGAGGGAAAAAACGTTAGCAAGTGTCATTCCTGTCCAGAGAGTTCCTGATGAGTGATGAGAGTGCTGGGGAGAACTTTCAGAAACCCTCTTAAATTCCCTCTTTGAAATCTTTTTAATGTCTCCTCTTTGAGGACTGTGGGGGGTGGGGGGTGGCGCAGAGGGTGGAGTTGATCCTAACTCTTAAGATCCTTTCGCCTAAGGTTTCACTTGAAGGCAGGGACTGACAAAGGCTCTTTTTTGAACTTCTTCTTAGGGCATTTCCCTGTGGACATTTTTGGAAAAAGACTTAAAAAAAAAAAAAAGCCGGTTTATCATGATAAAACCCGGCCCTTGTTTTGTGTTTTTGAAAAGCGATTTTTAAAATGGTCATTTTGGGTGAGTATGTGCCAGCTGTGTGATTTTTCTTTGGACTTTCCCATGGATGAATATTTGGCTCGTGGTGTCCTGAACCCCTTTAAGGTGTCATTTTTAAGCAGAAGAAAAACTTCCTTCTATTTTTTTTTTTTTTGGTATGACAACAAAGCCGTTGTTGAGGATAAACAGAAGATTAATTTAAAATGCCAATTACTTTTGCTAATCTGCTGATGGTGAGGTTGTTTATGGCCGGAGAACTATGAAAATAATTCCAGATAGAATCTGAGAGGGGAGAACAGGAAAGGGGTGTGTGGGGGAGGGGGCTGGGGAGCACGGTGGTCCTTCTGGGGACTAGGAATGATATTTAAGCAACAAACACCTTCCTTATATCACATATTCTGTTAAAAGCAGTCAAAATGAAGTATGATGTGTTTATAGGCCACTACCATCTGTCTGAAAAATCTCTTATGGGTTTTTGCCTGCAGTTCAACAAACCATTTACTTGCTTTAATGATCTTTTCAATAAAACTTTGGATTAAATTACAGTACTTTTAGGCTCAGAAGGTTTTCAATTCTGAAAACTCGGTACTTTCATTTGGTTGCAGGAATTTTTAAGGGACGGGCTCTCCTAGCCAGATTGATATTTTGGAGCATGGCCAGTTAGTAAGCAAGGTAGGGGTAGGGGTGGAGAAAGCTATGTGTTGCCACAGTCCTTAAGCACAGTGACCAAAGGATGCTCTCCGGCTTCTGGGTAAGGCAGTTGCTTGGGACTTGGAGAATGGACAAACCCTGATAGAAAAGAGTTGCTGAATTCAAAATACTAGGCTATTACTTTAAGATTTTATTTACTTATTCATGAGAGAGAGAGAGACAGAGAGAGGCAGAGGGAGAAGCAGACTTCCCGCAGAGCGGGGAGCCCGATGCGGGACTCGATCCCAGGACTCCGGGATCATGACCTGAGCCGAAGGCAGACGCTTAACCATCTGAGCCACCCAGGCGCCCCTAGGCTATTACTTTAAAACCATTCAATTTCACCCTAATCGGTTATTCAGATATTTTTGTCTTGGTTTTTGCCTGGACTCAACTTTATTCCTTAGTGAGTCTAATGATTCATCTCTCTGAACCCTTTTAATTTCACCTTGGTTGGTTGTTCCTGTGAAGGAGAACCTTTTTGTCCTGTTTTTTTCCTTGCTTCATCCTGACCCCTGAAGGAGTCTAAGGATTTCACATCTTGGAGTTTCTGGGTAGATCCAAGAAATGGTCGAGATCACTCTTGTCTCTTTCTCAGGCACGGTTGGGTGTTAGCTAGCCCAGGTAGATGAGGAAGCGAAGAATGTGGCACTTCTTTAAATTGTCCGCTGAGGTGAGATCTGAGCCTCAATTTCTCACGACTAGACTGTGTTTCTTTAGATCGCGTGCAGGTGTGTGAAAAGCCTCTGGCTTTGCTTCTTTCACGGTTGCCCTGATTGTGGGATTGAGGTTAGGCTGGAATCCCCACAGAGTTCCTCTCGGCTGGAGTTCGGTAGCCCAGCGGCTGAGAGAGGTGTTAATTCCAGCTGCCGCAGGGGCCTGCTCCTTTCCTTCCCTGGCAATTGGGAGCCCCTTGGAGAACGTTTAGATATAATAGAACCCGGCTTGTTGCACATTTTCCTTTGAATGCTCATGGTTTGTGAAAATGTAGCTTATTCTCCTAAATACCTTGACATGCTTCCCTTTCTCCAGGTGTCATCTATAACAGCACTACTGTAACAACCCAAAGGGTAATTTTATTTTATTTCATTTTTTTATTTTAAATTGAAGTAGAGTTGACTAAAGGGAAATTTTGAAAGAAAGAATAATCACCAATAATCTCTTGGTTAGACTCCATCATTTGCCTATCTTGTCTTCATTCTTTTTATGTTGGGTCGCAGGCAGATATTCTGAAACATTATATGCAATGCATTATATTCTGGGTTTTTTTTTCCTTAACGATGTATTGTAAAAGTATTTTTTTTTTTTCTTGCGGCTGTATCATCTTCATAATTTAATTTCCCATGACCATGCTTGATATCCATTAAACTGATCTACCAGAATATAGCTAATTATTCACCAACTGATGGACAGTTATGATTCCCAATACTACAGTAATGGATATCTTCATGCACGTAGCTTTGGAATATTTCCCAGGAATGGGATTAGTAGGTCAAAGGGTATGAATATTTTTATTACTCTTGATACATTTGCCATATTGCTTTACAATAAAGTTGTACCAGTTCACAAAGTTAGCAGTAAATTATGAGGGGATAAGTTTCACTGTGAAGCTCATGACAGTTTCATGAGAGGATATGAGAACCGTTTTGCTGGGGATGGAATCCCAGCTTTGGCATTTGCCTCCAGCTATGTGACCTTGGGCAAGTTCTTTAAACTTGCTGTGCCTCAGTTAACCTTCTCTGTAAAATGGGGATAACTCTTATTAGGAATAAGCGAGTTAATATTTGTATAGTGCCTAGAACAGTGCCTGTGTAAGTATTATGCTGTGTGTTTGTTAAACAAACACATCTCTCTAGTTCAGGATGTAAAAATAATAATTTAATAGCAATAGTGACTTTTGGTAAAACTATTTTTACATATATTAACAGTATTTCTAAGAAACACTCCTTTTTAATCTCTTTTTTGGAAAAGGTAAATTTTATTTATTTTTTTTTTTTTAAAGATTTTATCTATTTAT